AGATCCTGCAGGCAGAGCTGCTGGTGGTCTACGGCGCCGACCCCGGGGCACCCGACGTGAACGGCCGGACCCCCATTGACTACGCCAGGTGAGGGCGGGGAAGGGGGGTCACCCCTGCCTGCACCCCCACCTAGGGTGGGCGTTACCCCTGCCCGCCCTCCCACAGGCAGGCAGCCCAGCACGAGCTGGCAGAGCGGCTGGTGGAGTGCCAGTACGAGCTGACCGACCGGCTGGCCTTCTACCTCTGCGGCAGGAAGCCAGGTGAGTGTGCGAGTCCTGGAGTGGGGAGGTTACCCTGGGGGCAAGGGGGGCACGAGGCCCCGCTCAACACCCCTCTCTTTGCACAGACCACAAGAATGGGCACTACATCATCCCGCAGATGGCTGACAGGTGAGTGTCTGGTGCCCGCGGCCCTGCCACCCTGTCCCATGTCCCCCCCGGCGTCCCCGCTGGGCTGAGGGGGGGACCCCTGTCACTGGAGCATCCCTGGTGGGGTGGGGGGGGTCAGCGTGCCCACGCGTTTAACGTCCGCCTTTATCCTGTTCTTCCCTCCGCTGCCTTCTCCGGAGCGCAGGGTGCGCCCAAAGTGCATGGCACAGAGGTATTGTCCGCTCGGCTCTTGGCTCCGGGGGCCCCCCATGCCACTGGCATGGGCCCCCCCTGCAGCCCCGGCCGCTCGGCCCAGCCCAGCACCTGGGGGGCACTTGGGGAGGGGGGGTCCCGCTCGCCTTCTGCCACCTTGTCCCCCTGTGCCTGCCCGCCAGCCCTGCTTGGTGAAGCCCCCAGTGCCTGAGGGGGGGTCCCTGTCCTGGTGGGGTACAGCTGGGGACTGTTTTGGTGGGAATGGGACAGGAATAACCCCCACTTCGTCTCTCCCCCCCTCCCTGCACCCCCCAGCCTGGACCTCTCTGAGCTGGCCAAGGCAGCCAAGAAGAAGCTGCAGGCGGTGAGTGGGGGCTGGGGCAGGGCTGGGGGTCCCGCCTGCTCCCCCCATCCTGCCTGACACCGTCCCCTGTCCTGCTGCAGCTCAGCAACCGCCTCTTTGAGGAGCTGGCCATGGACGTCTACGACGAAGTGGACCGTCGGGAGAACGACGCGGGTGAGCGGCGGGTGGGGGGTGCAGCCCCCCAGGGCTGGGGCGGGCGTCACTGGCGCGGGGAGGAGCAGCCGGCGGGGCCGTGGCTGAGCCCTTCGCTCCCCCCTCCCTGGATGCGTCCGCCGGGACCGCAGGCCCCTCCTTCTTCATTCCTCTGGCCGGGGAGGTTTGCTCAGCGCGAGGGGCCGCCGCTGGGTGCTGGGGCTGGGGTGCTGCCGGAGGTGGGTGCTGGGACCCCCAGGATGGGAACTCAGCCTGGAGGGGTGCCCTTGGTCTGGGGGATGGCGGGGGGGGCCATCCCGTTTCCATGGCGAGGTGGGTGCCAACAGAAATGACAAACCCTCTCCCCACTGGCTCGGGGTGGCGAGCTGGTGCCCCAAGGAGTGAGGAGCAAGGGGTCCCTGCTGGGGGGTGCGGGGGGGACCCCAGCTCTGCGGGGTGGCTGAGGGAGGCAATTCCTGTCAGCCCAGCTGGGCTACGCTCCCAGCCCCAGCAGGCTGGCCCCGCGCCTGCGCCTGCGTCCTGCCAGCTCAGGCCCCGCAGCCTGCTCGTCCAGGGGGGTCCAGCCCCTGTAGCCCCCCGGAGTCTGACACCAGGTGCCTTCCTGCAGTCTGGCTGACGACGCAGAACCACAGCACGCTGGTGACAGAGCGCAGTGCCGTCCCCTTCCTCCCTGTCAACCCTGAGTACTCGGCCACACGAAACCAGGTGAACCCTTCCCCTCAGGCCTCATGGTTCCCCCCCACAAGGCCCTGTGACCCCCCCCGTGCACCCAGATCTCTGCTTACCCCCTTTTCCCTGCCTCCTACCCCCAGGGCCGGCAGAAGCTGGCCAGGTTCAATGCCAGGGAGTTTGCCACCTTGCTCATTGACATCCTTGGGGAAGCCAAGCGCCGGCAGCAAGGGAAGAGTCTGTTGAGCCCCACAGGTGAGGGACAGAGGGCAACAAGGGGGAGCTGAGCATCCCTCCCTACCCTGTGCTCAGCACCCCCTTGCCTTCCCCCAGACGCCCTCGACTACTCGCTGCGGAGCCAGAGTGACCTGGACGACCAGCACGACTACGACAGCGTCGCGTCCGACGAGGACACGGACCAGGAGCTGCTGCGCAACGCCTCCCGCAACAACCGTGCCAGGGTGAGCCCTGGACCCCACCTGGACCTCTGCCCCGGCTGTGGGATCCCGATGCTGAGCCCCTTTCCCCACAGAGCATGGACTCCTCCGACCTGTCGGACGGCCCCATCACGCTGCAGGAATACCTGGAGGTGAAGAAGGCTCTGGCTGCCTCTGAAGCCAAGGTGCAGCAGCTGATGAAGGTGAACAACAGCCTGAGCGATGAGCTGCGCCGGCTGCAGCGTGAGGTGGGTCTGGGGCCGGCAGGACCCCCCCTTCATTGTATTCCACTCCTTGCTGAAGCCTCCCCCCACTCCTCCTGGCTGCAGATCCACAAGCTGCAGGCAGAGAACACGCAGATCCGGCAGCAGAGTGGTCCCGCACACCCAACCCCGGCCCCCAGCGAGCGGCCAGAGCACGGGCACCCCCCTGGCACGGCCCCCACACACCGCCGGGACCGCCAGGCCTTCTCCATGTACGAGCCGGGCTCGGTGCTGAAGCCCTTCGGGCAGCCGGTGGAGGAGCTGGTGACACGGCTGCCCTTCGGCCCTGGTGTGAGTGTGCTGGGGCAGGCAGGCGGGTGGGGTTGGGGTGCAGTCACCTCCCCAGCCCTGCAGGGTGCTGGGTCCTGTCCCCGCGGGGCCGTAACCTTTCATGTGTCACCAGGAGGTGGAGGACGAGGCTCTGTACTCCATGCACATCCCGGCCAGCGTGTACCGGGTAAGGGGGCCGCAGCGGGGGCGGCTCCTGCATGGGATGTGGTGGCTGTCGCCTGCCCAGGATGTGACCTTTGGGATGTCCTGTCCCCCCACCGCCCTGAACCCTGCTGGGTCAGGCCGGGGACCTCCCCAAGGGACGGCGGCTGTGGGATGTTCCTGCATGCAGGGTGGCGGTGTCCCCTGTGCTCGTCCTCCCCTGCACATCACCGAGGTCGGCTCCAAACCCTTCTGCACCATGTTCAGCACCGGCTTCCCCTCTGTTCCCCCTCCAGATCCGGAAAGGTCCATCTGGCTCCTCAGTGCCCTTTCCCCCATCCTCCCCGCTGCTCTCCTGCCAACCGGATGGTGCCCGGCACATGGTGATGTACTGGGGAGGGGGGTAACTCTTGGGGTGGGGAGACCCCTGGCCCTGCGTGGGTTTGGGCTGGGCAGGGCTTGACACTGTTCTTCTGCCCTGCAGAGCAAGCTAGACCGGCATGGCAGCGGCACCGACAGCGACTACGACAACACGCAGGGGGGTGAGGTCCTGATCAGGTCAGTGCTGGGGCTGGGGACTGCGCCAGGGAACGTGGGGACACATGGAAATGCAGTTGACACTGACCCCAGGGGGTTGGTTGGTCCCTGCAGCATGGAGGGCAAGCGGTTTGTGGAGCTGAGCAAGGATGAGGACTTCCCCCATGAGCTGGACCCGCTGGACGGGGAACTGGACCCTGGACTGCCCAGCACAGAGGACGTCATCCTCAAAACTGAGCAGGTCACCAAGAACATCCAGGAGCTGCTGCGGGCGGCGCAGGAGTCCAAACATGACAGGTGAGACTGGTGCACAGCCTTGGGGTCCCTCTGGACCCCCAAACCAAGGGGCTGTGGTCACACAGGGCCATCCCTGGCACCCTCTATGGTCGGGAGTCATGGTCTCCTGCAATGCTCACTGCTTACCCTTTCTCCTTGCCCCCAGTTTCGTGCCCTGCTCAGAGAAGATCCACTCAGCTGTGACAGAGATGGCATCGCTATTCCCTAAGGTAAGAGGGGTGGTGTGTCCCTGGGTTGAGGATGGTCCCCACCCAGACACTGTCAGCTTCCTGGGCATGGGTTCTGATGCTGGTCCTGTGCCCTGATGCAGAAGCCGGCTCTGGAGACGGTGCGGAGCTCCCTGCGGCTGCTCAACGCCAGCGCCTACCGGCTGCAGAGCGAGTGCCGCAAGACTGTGCCCCCCGAGCCAGGCGCCACCGTGGACTACCAGCTCCTGACCCAGCAGGTCATCCAGTGTGCCTACGACATCGCCAAGGCCGCCAAGCAGCTGGTCACCATCACCACTCGTGAGAAGAAGCAGTGAGCGCCAGCCTGCGCCTCTCCCCCGCGTGTCCCCCGGCCCCCACGCTCTCTCTCTCTCCCTTCCCTCTGGCAGCAGCCACCACCTGGGGCGAGCGTGGCTGCAAGTGGCCTTTTTGGGGAGCTGGGGCACGGGGCGAGCTGACCATGCCCCCTGCGCTGTCAAAGGAGCTGGTGCTCGGCCTGCGGGGTAGGTGCCTGTGTCCCCCTGTACAGCCCCCTGCCCGCCCCGTGGCACGCGCCTAACTTATCCTGTACAGTACATAGCCTGTGTAGCTGTCCATGGCGGCGGTGGCCTTGTACCCCCACCCCCCACAAAGCCCCTCTCTGGGTGGCCGGTACCCCCGGGGCCACCCACGGCATTACACTGGACTGGGACGCCCGTGGGCCCCCCCTTCCCGGGCGTCCTGAACCCCTCCCCGGGTGTCCTGCCCCTCACCGGGGCTGCGCTCCCCACTGTAAGATGTGTCCTTGTAAATTTGTATCAATAAAGTTGTGAGCATTGCACGGGCCCCCTGCCCCGCTCCCATGCCCATGGAGGGTCCCGTCCCCCTGGACCGTGGGTTCACCCCTCCCCGGCGCCAGGCAGACTTGGCCACGTGTCTCTCCCGTTTCACCCAGTCCCCTTGGCCCCGCTGGCGGCTGCTCACGCCATCCCCAGCACAGCCCTGCTGTTTGCCCAGCCCCGGGGCTGGGCTTTCTCAGCACGGCCCTGCCATCGCTCTGCGAACCCGCAGAGCACCGGGGCTGCCGGCCGGGGCTCTGCTGCCTCCATGCTGTCCCCAGAGGGTTTGGTGGCCGCAGCCACAGTGCTCGTGGTACTGGGCCTCCTGGCTTGGTGCCTTTGGGAAGGGAGGCTGGAGGTGCCTGGAGACTTGGCAGAGAAGGAGGAGGAGGAAGAGGAGGGGATCCCCTTCATGGCCGAGGAGGGCTCAGGGCGCTGCCGGCTGCTGTGCAAGCCCTCTGCTCTGGCCCAGCACCTGGTGCGGAGCTTGGGGCGGTCGGCGGCGCTGCGGGGGGGACGGTGGCCGTGGCCACGCTGGCCTCAGCTCCAGATGCTGCAGCAGCTCCTGCAGCCGCCTGAGCCGGAGCCAGTGGTGGCCAGGGAGCTCCTGCAGCTCTCTGATGCTGGGCTGGTGGCCCTGGACTGGCTGGTGGGACCCTGGGGGGCTGTGGGTGGCAGTGGGGGGGTCTCCAGCCCGGTGCTGCTACTAATCCCCAACGCTGCTGGGAAGGTGACGGGGGGGCTGTTGCAACTGGGGCTGCGGGCGCTGGAGCGGGGCTTCATCCCCGTCATCTTCAACCGCCGGGGCCACAACGGCTGCCCCCTCACCACCCCCCGGCTCCAGCCCTTTGGAGACCCCGGGGACCTGCGGGAGGCCGTGACCTACCTGCGGTGCCGGCACCCCACTGCCTCGCTGCTGGCTGTCAGCGAGGGCTCAGGCTCGGGGCTGCTGCTCGCCTACCTGGGGGAGAGTGGCTCCTCCAGCCGCCTGGCTGCCGCCGCCTGCCTCTCCCCCATCTTCCGTGGCCGGGACTGGTTTGAGGCTGCGATGCCCTGGCTCTACGAGTGGCCGCTGCTCCTCCACCTCAAGCAGGGATTAAGCAGGTCAGTGAGGTCCCTTGGGCTTGGGAAGGTGGAGGGGGGTATCCCGGGAACCCCTCATTTATCTTTGGGGGTGTGCGTGCAGTTCAGCACCCAGAGCCCCAGCGCCGGGGCAGAGGTGCTGAGGGCAGCAAAACGTGCTGGTTAATGAACACCAGCCTGGAACCAGCTGCCATGGGGCCAACCGGGCCACCACGTGTGTTCCCAGCCCTTCTGAGGCTGAGGCAGCATCTCAGCGTCCCTGGGCTGGGAAATCTGTCACCGCTGTGGGGGGTGGTGAAGCCCCTGTGTGGTGCTGGACCCCGAGGGGGTGAGTGGGGCTGGCCACTCTCCCTGCACTGTCGCTTCTCCCCAGCAACTGACACCGCCTTATTGGCCCTGCAGGGCTTTGGGAGGGACCGTGATGTCAACCCACAGCTGGATAGGGGGCTGTGACTGCTGCCCTCCCTTCCTAAGGCATCTAGGTCCCCTGTTGCCCAACACAGCCAGGCTGGAGCAGCCCAAGGACGGGAGACACACCACCCTGGGCCAAGGCCTTGAGCAAGTGGCATCTCCCTGGGCGGTGCTGAGACCTTTGTGGGGGCAACGGGGCCCTGCTGATGGGCAAATGGGAGCCAAAAAAAATGCAGGTAAACCCTGAAATGTTGGGGCAAACAGGTGGCAAGTCAAGCTGTAGCAAGGCTCAGATGGGTGAAGAAGGCACAGTGTTTACTGCGGGGATGGAGGATTGGGGGGTGGGCAGTAGGGTGTCTGCCCCCCCTCCCCATTTCCCAATACCCATTGCAAATGCTGCTGTCACGGCAACGGAGCAGAGTGCTGGCTGTCTCCCGTTGCCATGGCACCCGGGCTGCGCTGTGGGGACCCTCCAGCATCCTCGGCAAGGTGCCGGAATGGGAACCCCAAACCACCTCTGGGGTAGGGGGTGGTGGGGCGTGCTTGAGATCACCCCCAGTTCCTATGTGCAGGGCCGCGGCTGGCACACAGCCCATGGCAGCACCCCCGCAGCTCCCAGCCCCCGGGTGCATCCCTGGGGCCCTCAGCAGTGTCAGCCAGCCCCTGCGGCATTCCCGTGTCCCCCCAGCCCACGGCAACATCCCCGCAGTCCCCCACGGCATCCCCTCAGCCCCCAGCCCACTGCGGCCACCCCGTCCCCGCAGGTACGCGGGGTCCCTGGCCGAAGCGGTGGACATGGACAGGCTGCTGGGCAGCCGCTCGCTGCGGGAGCTGGAGGAATCCCTCTTCTGCCGGACCCGGAGCCGCCCCACGAGCTGGGAGGTCTACTGGGAACGCAACGAGCCCCTGCGCGACGCGGACGAGGCGGCCGTGCCGGTGCTGTGCCTGTGCAGCGCCGACGACCCCGTGCGCGGCCCGCCGGCCCGCAGCCTGCCCATGGAGCTCTTCCGCAGCAGCCCCTACTTCTTCCTGCTGCTGACCCCGCGCGGGGGGCACTGCGGCTTCCCCCGCCGGGCACCGGGGCGCTGCTGGGGCCACGAGGCCGTGCTGGAGTATTTCAGGGCCATGGCCGAGTTCCTCCGGACGGAGGAGCGCAGGAAGGGGCAGCCGCGGCTCCGCAGGTGGGGGGGCCCCGCCGTCGAGCCCCCCGTGTTCACCTGGCAGAGGTCCTACACGCGGTAGTCCCCCTTCCCGGGGGGCTCAGAAAGGCAGGCAGACACTCCGTGTACTAAAATTACTTTATTACAGTTGATTTTTTTTTTTTAACATTTCCTTTGCTATGATACAAAGGATACTTACAAACAAAATATTACATATGACCTTATTTTTTTTTTCTCTTCTCTTATTTTCTGACAACTTGGTAACAGCTTTAAATGCACAATCTATACAATTAATACAGGTTATATATGAGCTATAATGTATGTTGAACCAGAAGAATACCAGAATACTGACAATATACTGTACATTAAGCCTTACCAGTTAGTGCTCGTGGCATTTTCTACAAGAAGGAAAACGCACACCTGTAGATTCACTCATACCAGCTGGTGCTACCAGACACGGAAGCAGGAAGTTTTAATTCCCCTGGTTAAATCCTTCGTGGCCCATCACCGTGGTGCTGGGCATGGAAACCTCAGACCAGTGTTCATAGTAAAACAGCAGATATGTGTGTGTTTTTTCTAACTAATGCTCTGTGGCACAGCACGGCGGGGCCGGGCGCCTTCCCCCGGCATGGCCTTGGCCATACCTGGATGATGCCCCAGAGCAGACGGCCACGGCGCTGGGGCCGGGCGCTGGGCGAGCTCTTGTCGGGGAGCTGGACCTCCTTAGGGAGGGGAGAGGGAGAGGAGGAGGAGAGGAAAAGCAGCAACAGCTTTGCTGTCATCAGCAGGCAGCTCTTGGGTTTGTGCACATGGACAGGCGGGTGCCGAGGGGGGAAGAGCAAGCCCAAGGCACGGCGCTCCCCGGCACGGCTCCGAGCCCGGCAAACCCTCCGTGGGGTCGGGCAGGAGCTGCCCTGTGGTCACCTCCTTGCCAGGAAAGGTTTGCTTTTGTTTTGCAGCCAAAGCCAGAGGTGTGTGGCTACAGGTGTGCACTTCCCCTCCTCCTGCCGGGGTCTACAATGCACTGATAAGGTTACATTTTTGTGGTTTTTATTTTATTTTTTTTTTCTTTTTAAAGCAATCAGCAAGTGAAGCTTTTTTTTTTTTTTAGTTGACTGGCAAAAAGACCTGGCATTTGCACAAAAGCTGCAAATGGAAAAGAGCCATCCCCTCCTCCCACCCGCTGCATCCTAGCCCAGAAAAATCCCAAACTGTTGGCGGAAGAAAGGAAAAAAAAAAAAACACAACAGGGGTGGAGGAGAGGAAAGGGAGGGGGGAACAGGTCGGAAAATACCAGGTTAGAGTTAACATTTCATTGACTTCACACAATGCTTGTGCAAAAAGAAACAACTCCCCCCCAAACAAACAAAAAACCCAAACCCAGAAACATGCTGGAAATAATGAAAACAAATGGAAAGTAATATATAAAATTAAAAATATAAATAGGATGTCTGGCTGACTGGTAGAAGAATAGGTCATTTAGGTTACAAAAAGGAATATACATTCAAGAGGCTCTGAACCCAGTGGGGTAACTGATGTTAAACTTGTGTTAATAGTTAGGCTAGAATTCTCAAGTTTGTCTTTAAAATCTTCACAATACAAGCAAGCTATTTTTAAAAAATATACACTATACACACCTCACACAGCTTCTCCTATCCGTATTACACACGTTACGCTACCCTCCCATCCACTACACCGAGGGGGGGTCCCATGGCCGAGGGGCACAGGGTGGTCCCCCCATCCCATCCTGCCGGCCCCGCGGTGGCGGTGGGGCAGCAATGGCTGTGGGGCCGGGCAGGTCCTTGGCCCCTCCACATCTTTACCACAACCTTCTCAAGCATTTACAAGTCACCAAAGGGCTGTAGACTTTTTATGTTATACACACTTCACTTTGTAACGTTAATTATTTACAATCAGGGCTGCCCCCCCATCTTTTAGCTGTTTCTAGGCAGGTAAAAAAAAATGATCCTGTTCCAAGCAAGCAGGGGGAAGAGCTGTGGGGGGTTAGGAGGGAAGAAAAGCTGAAGAAAGGAAGCGGGTGGTTTGCTTGCCAGAAGCCAAACCCGTACGTGCACGTCTGCCTCTCCTTCTCTGATCCTTGAATCCTTACAAGCTCCTGTCCCCTACAACCTCCAGGACAACCAGACCCAGAGAGCACGGCCTCACTGGCGCTCAAACTCCTCTGCTCGCAGCTTCCTGGGATGTTCAGCATAGCTTTTCTCAACTCACAGGTTTGCCTCTGCTACCTGACACAGAGCACAGGTCCTGACCATTCCTAGGAGCCCACCCCTCACTCAGCAGCAGCTCTTGCAGTGCAAGCCAACTGCAGCAGGGCAGGGACATCGGGACCCCCACAAGCCACCGCGCTGCACCCCCGAACTTGCCCTTGGTGGCTGCCACCGACCACAGATGGGCTCTGACAGAGCTGTGCAGAGGCAGCGGCCACTGACTTCAGCTCATCAACAACCCTGCACTGATTTCTGCACTCTGCTGAGCTCAGAGTTGCCATAGAAATGTGTGATACTGGCACTAAAAGCAGGCAACGATCTCAAATTAAAGTCTTTTTTTGTTTTGTTTTTTTCCTCCAGTAGACTTAGATGAACTCGGTTTAAAGACAAAAGCAGTTGGAAGGGGAAAACAGATCATTTCTAGAGAGATTGAAAAATATAGTCAACAAGCCGGTATTAAACTGCAGCAAAGAACCTGAACTCGGTTCCTATTGAGTTCAGCTCCAGAGCAAGCTCCAAGCCACCGCTCTGTCCCTCGCACTGCCCTCCGTACGGCACACGACGCCCAAGGGAAGGAGATTCCACACAGCCAACACGGAAAACCCGGCCGAAGGCTGGAAGCCGAAAGCCCTGGCTGTTGGCCTCCCCAGCTCGAAATATTTAAGCACAAATTCCTTACAGCATCACTGGACAAGTCTCGGGGATTAGGTGCATGCTGAACTACGACTGGCAATTACAGTAGCTTTCTGCTAGCTGGCACATACTGTATCTATAAATTTTAGTACAAAAACTTAAAAAATACAGAAACTAGGTCAATTTGTTAACTACATATTTACAGATAATTACAATTCTTTTCACTGACAATAATTAAACTAATTGTCAGTGAAAATTCAAACTGTGCATGTTCTGAGGTACCCGTACTCAAGGGTGGGGAGCGGGGCAGGGGCCGGAGGGGCGAGGTGGGGGGAAGATCCCCCTGGGTTTGTTCACATCCGTGGGGGCAACGCTCAGCCCTCCTGGTTACTGGTTCCTGGACTCAGTGTGTCTACTCAGAGAAAGCAAGGAGAGCAGGAGCTGACGTTGGGGTCTGTTTTCCCTAGGACATGGCTTTAGGATGTTTTGAGGATGCCAGGCAGGTGCAGAGCCAATGGTCACGTACCAAACTGCCTTCCTCCCCCCGGGGAGCCTTTAGGTGAAGTGCAAGTATCAAGACCCACAGCTTGGTGGTTAAGGTGCTTGTTTGCCGGCAAATCTGATTTACTAAGTCCCTCTCTAGCTGACAAAAGGCTCTCCTTCCCCCGAAGAAGGGGGTAGGGATGCAGCAGACAGCATCATCACAGCTCAGCTGGCTGAACTGTGTTGTGCAACAGGAACCCAGGTTATCTGCCACCATCACTCCCCGGTGGGGTGATGTTTACTAGAACCACTAGATCTATCAGATTTTTTTATTTTCTGGCTGTAAACAATGATCCACAACCCTCCAAGGCGCCTTGCACGTATTTCTCAACAGACTCCGGACTCCAGCTCAATCGACTCGTAAAAGTGCAAACTGAAACAAACACAGCAGAGGGACAGCAACCGGCATCCCTGTCGGGGCATCCAGCGCTCCTCCATCCTTGGCACGTGGCTCTGGGCTCGCTGCCGGCCAGCACAGGGGTGGGAACATCCCACAGGCAGGAGCACAGCTAAAGACAACACTACTTCTTGGAAAAGCGTAAGGTTGGCCCAACCAAACCCGAGCCTCTCCTAAAAAACTCGCAGGAGACCTTCCAGAAGGGACAGAGGGGAAAATTGCTCCAAATTTTCTGGTAGCACAAAGAGAGCCCGGGGTTGGCATGTTGCTGAGCTGGCAGGGCATCCCTGGGGGTAAATATGTGGCCTGACACCTGCAAGAACCATCTATCCTGCAAACTGCCAGATGCCTCCCTAAGATGGGGTCTGCAGAGGACAAAGGAGAGGGTCAGAAGGGTCTTCACAGCTTGAGGAGCTGGTGGTGTCCAGCATGGCACTCACCCCTCTACTATAAGAAAGACCAGAGCCAAGATTTACTAGAACTGCAGAGCAAGCACCCAGGAGAGGAACAAGGCCATCCACTGCTGGCTGGACTCAAGTGACAAAGCACGCAGGCCTAAGCAGAATAAAGAATGGACCAAGAGCATCTGTGTGTCTATATATGCGTGTACATATTGTACACACAGATGTATTTTAAATCTTCCAATTTAGCTTCTCTTTTGCCCCTCCCCATAACCAAACAACCTCTAAGTATCAGACACAGGCAAAGGTAGACGGTGTTCAGAGCTGGCGGCGGCTCGAACTCAGGAATGCCAAAAGCCAGTGCCGGTGCAGTGTGCCAAGACCGTGCCGGGCTTGTGATCTTTCATGGCGAGACGCAGCTGGGGACTCTGAGCTCAGCCTGCTGAGCACTTCACCGGCCCACTCGCCGCCTCCCCAGCAGATCCGTACAGTGCCTCCACTGCTTGCCTATCGCTAAACCCTCTTGTTTTTTTCTCTGCTGCCTTCTGACTTTCTGGTACCCTCTGGGAGCTCCCTCCTCTCCTTCACAGCACACCCGCAGCAGCCACCTACCCTCCCGCGCCCCAGAAAAAAGCAAGCTGCAATTAGCAGGGCTGTATCTCAGCGAGGGTGTTCGGCTGTGCTTAGCCCCAGCACGGCCTCTGCACATGTCGGTGCCCTCGCCCTGAGAGCCCTGCTGAGGGGTTGCTTTTGCTCACGAACAGGAGCGCTAAGGAACAGCAGAACTGAAGTGCCCTGACAGAAATGCACAGCATGAGGTGTGTGTGCACCTATACCCACACACACGTACGTACAGAGTATATAAATATATACAAATGAGATACCATATATATATCCAGAGAGATGTGCGTATTCAACAGAGTAATGGTAGACAGTGGTACGATAGGATTTATTGCCTCTCAAGAAATGGCACGTAAGCAGGGTCGAGGGGTGGGGAGCCTGGATGCGAGGGGCCCTGGGGG